TGGGGGTTGGAATAGGTCGTGGAGAAGATGTCAAATTGCTAATGATCGGATTAGTTGTTTCTTGGACTAGACTTGAGTACTTGATATTCCGTCTTGACACCTATATCCATAACCAGGCAAAGAGAGTGTCCACAAACATGGTAATCCATCTGCACGCCCCACGGCTTCTTGCCTTGTTCAGTGGCAACCTCCAAGCGGCTCAGCCAAACGAGATGTCTTCACCCCAGCTTCTGCCAGGGACTTCTTCGCACGCTCTAGAGCACGATCGTAGTGCTCTCTCATCTTTTCTTGAGAAAGGCGTTCGTTAGCAGCGCCCCTCGCTTCACCAGGTTCCATCCAGTCAAAAACATGCGCCAGTTGAGAAGAAGCCTTCTCAGATGTAATGGCGTCCACCGATCTGGCCTTGGCCTTAGGAGCATCCTCCCGGTACTGCTTGTGGTGCTTGTAAAAAGTCCAGACTCCCCAAAAGTATAAGTTCGCCCAAATATCCCTGCAATCACAACGGTGTCTTTCACACTGGTGTTGCATGCTAGTAGGAGACGCAATTACATGTTAGCTCTTGACTGCTCACAACACCAAGATATGTTTAACCCTGGGGGGTGGCTGGGGGGTTAGCGGTCAAAACGATGACGGTGGGACATACTCCTTCAAGAAGTTCTGGTCGATCCACATTCTGGCATGCGGCGTAAAGCGGTACTGAGCCTGGTAGTTCCGGTACGCAAAATCGTGGCGTTGACAGGCCGGCTTGAGCGGGAAGCCGAGCGGGTAGTCCGGCACATGGCTACACCAGTCCGATGATCAGTCCCACGCGATAGGCCCGAGATAGAAGTTTCGCTCCCGGTGCTTGATGAACGTGTCAAGGTCCCACTGGAAGATCATGGGCGCCGTGTATTTGCACCATTTTAGGACCCAGCCGGTATTTGGCGGGTTGGCCGCGCTGTGCTTCTTCTTGGCGTCAAGTTCCAAACCCCGGTTCTCGAGGGGGTGGCCACCGGGGAGGGCGGTGGTGCCCAGCATCATGAAGGTCATGATAGCCAAGGCCAGCAGCGAGAGGAATGAGGAGGCCTTCATAGTGGATTGGCTGGGAAACAAGGGCCAGTCACTGGCTGTATGGGATGGTTTGATAGGACAGGGAGAGGTTGAGAGTCTGAGAGATGGAAAGGACAAGGCGCTCTGGGAGTGATGGGGGGTTTTATAAGGGAATGGCCTCGGCTTTGCCTCGGCTTTTGATCTTACGGCAAGCAACTGCGTTGCGAACCACCGATGGGGGAGTTCCGTCTCCGACATTATGCACACAGCTACATGCAACATTGTGGTGGTACTTCAAGCAGTTCTGGAGAGAGTCTTGGTAAATGCATGACTAAGTCGCCGGGCTTGGGGATGGTGAGCTGCACGTGCCATAGAGACACTTGGTTCTGAGAACGGCCCAGGTGTTGAAGCCACTCGTTTTGCAGTTGTCAAAAGGCAAAAGCACCTAATGACTTTCCACTTGGGTCTGGACTGCCAGACACTCACCTTTGACCCTGCAGTGCCATCCTGAGTTTCACGTGTCTCTGCAGCATTGCTCTATCTGTACCCAGCCAGAACTTCCGGTGTTCGTACCTGCGTTTATGCAGATGACTTGCTTTTGCGGAAAGAATCTTTTTACCAAGGACATGGAAGCAGCAATGTTGGGGGAGTGGCACTGCCCTCTTGTTCTCATCGCCCATGCATACCACACATATGCTCCTGCTGATCGGGAAACCATAAACAGTTAGTTTGGGGAAAGCTATCATGCTGCGGGCACACTTACGAAAAGCTCCACTCTTATCCCTGCCTAGGAATGTTGACATCTGCAACCGCGCCCTCTGTGGAAAGAACTGCAGGCTCAACCAGGTCCTGTGCTAGTCACTCCTCGATAATGCACTCAAAATCATGTTTTTCTGTCAACCAGCCGACACAAGAAGAAATCTGGCCCTTTCAGCAGAGCAACAGACCTTTTTTTACCTCTTTTATCCTTGCTTGATGTGTTCAACACTCGAGTGTCTGCTAGGTTAGGTTGCTGGTACCGGACGATGGTTATCATTGGGCAATTTCCATAATATGAAATCATCGCAAACTGCAAAGCCACCCCTCTTCTTTGAGCTCTGTTCTTTTTAATTTGGCCGCTGAGGCTCTTCGAAGCCTCCCCTTCAGTTTGAGCTCAGTTGGATTCTGTGGTTGCCCCATTTCCTATCTTTGGACCTCCTCACCCCTTCCAGGTTCATTCTTTCATCTTGAGCCTCTTTACCTTACTGTTCCTGAACAACGCCTGTCATGTTACTTCCCAGGTTGCCCAGTCGAGTGAATGGCACTTCAATTCACCAGTACTTCTCTCCTATTTAGGCCTCTCGTTATTTTTCATTTTGCTCCTCCCTTGAACAGTTTAAAATCAGGCCATTTTCGTTGCCTTTTCAAGTCTCCGACACCATCCTTCACCACTAACTTGACACATCTGCCCCTCTGTCACATCATCGCTCTTTCCGCCTTTCGTAGCTACCAGCTCGAGGGCTATGGCAGGACCATGGTCACCATCGACAAATTACCTGCGGAGGTGATCCTTGCGACCCACACTCACCTCGACCACTTGAATGACCTATGATCGCTAACCGGCGTGTGTGGCCGCCTCTACCATACCCCCAACCTGAAGCTGTACAGGCGCGATGTCCAGACAGGCTCGCCACAGTCCCTGTTTTGGGCCGCCAGACTTGGCCTTCTAGGGACCTTGGAAATGTCCTACGTCGCCGGTGCCAATCTCGAGCAGGCCTGGGTATCCGACGACTCCATCTTTCCCAAGACCTGCCGCATCAGCTTTGACGAAATGAGTACAACGCCTGTTCTCGCGAAGATTTTGAAGGCGGACTATGTTAAGCACTTCAAGCATTCCCCCAAAACATACACCTCCCTCTTTAACGGAGAAAAGCCGAGCCCACCTACCTCAAACGACTTCAACGACAACTACCACCACATCGACATAATCCGGTATCTACTCGATAACGGCGTCAACGTTGCGAACTCGCACTCACGCGGCCTCTGTAGTCGCAAATGGCCATGCGCTGGATTACGAAAACTCCATGCGTGTGACGGCATATCTCAGTATCCTAAACGGGTACATAATCCTCTTACTTTGGCAGTTTGCCAGGAGGACCTCGTAATCCAGAAGATGCTGCTCGAACATCTACGCTTGAATGAATTGGCGAGAAATTTGAGCAGGAATTGGGAAAAAATCGGTGGCCTTGGATACCGAATGGACAAGTTCGTCAGAGGATCAGAGGAGAGAAAGATTTTGTCAACGTTCCTGACATGCATGGCCGAGGTACCTACATTGCTTTACAAATCCCTACCTATGCTACTTGTTACTTAATTTCGCTAACATCCAGCCCTCTCATCTGCAGGATGATCGCGTGAAGATCAAAGGCGTCATGAAACCAGCAGCATTAGCTCGAGGGAAATCCTCGGGCAAAATATGATGAAGAGGTTACCCGTCACTTTCCATTATTGAACTAACCGCCCTTCCGTCGACTTATCAGAATCATGCGCTTTCGGGCAATCTCTCCAGCAACACCAAGTACATCTCGTACGCCTTTATAAGCCTCTCACCACTGGCTGAACATTCTCGGGCCATGATGTTTCAATCGAACGCTTAGCAATGCCGAGAGGCGGGTTAACGGGCAATTAGTACGGGACAACGAAGATCTTATGTACGAGCAACATGGCCTTCGAGTCTCCATCAAGCGTTCGTACAAAGGCACACGATGAGAGTGGTTGTACGGGCGTTGAAGTCTTGGTATGGATTCACACTTTATTACCCCGAAGGGTTCAACAAGCTATAAACGTACAATCCGTCTCCCGTATCGAAAGTGTTTCTCATATTTCATCGAGAATCATCAAAATCGTATAACCCATCAATATCCAAGTTGTAACCCTATCCGTTCCGTTCAGTCATGTCTTCCGTGCAATCCAAAGTCATTACCCAAGTCGCTGCCCGGTGCTAACGTCTTTTACGATAGCTTCAAGCGTCAAGATCACCGATCTGCCACCAATCGTTTCCCACGAATGCTTCTTCTACCTCCCCTCCCTCTCGCTTGTGTACCTGTAAACCCTCGGCGTCTCCCTCATCTCACCCCCATCCGGCCCTACACTCCTTCCCCGAGACTCATGTCTCGACGCGCTCCTGGTCCTCGAATGATGCCTCGACGTATGGCGATAGTGATGCACGTGCTTGGAACCAGACTTGTGCCTTGAATGGCGCCTCTTCTTCCTCTCGCAAGCGCCTGCCACCGCCCCGCATCCACACGAGCACATGCTGACACCGCTGACACTGCTATCCGTTTCGCTCATGCCGCCGCCTCTCATCCCCGCAGCAGCGGCACCGCTGCTGCCATAGACATTTTCGGTCCTCCTCGTCGTGCGGTGGATGTAAGCGGCACCACCGCCACCACCGGAGCCAGAAGAGCCGGACGACAGAACTTCCTCGTGGTAGTAATTATCATCACGGCGATTCTTCTTGCCGCCGCCGCCGAGCCACCAGAAGAGAAGACCCAAGAGGATGAGGAAGAGGATTACACCGATGACGATGCCGGCAATGGCACCGCCTGAGAGTCCGCCGTCGTGGTTGGAGGTCGCGCCAACCTGTGAGATGACGGTAGCGGTGGAGGCTGCAGAGGATTCCACGGAGGAAACAGGGTAGACGGTGGTGGTGACGGTATCGGTCGCGGCAGGTCCCTGGGTGTAGATCACGGTGGGGTGGGGGACCGAGTTATAGTTGGGCGCGGGCGCAACAGAGTCATAATACTGACGGTCTGCGAGAACGGCGGCGGCGGCGACCGTTGGGGCAGCTGTGGGTGCCGGAGCTACTGGCGACGGGGCTGCGAGATGTTGGAGGCGGGAGAGGATATCGGCGGTGTCAATGTGGGGAACCCCGAGGTTCAATGGAAAGGGGGCCATTGTGTGGTGTTATGTCTTTCTTTTGGCTTTGTTGCTGGTGGTGTTTTGTTTTGGAACCGTTCCTTTGTGTGTGCTTTTTGTTGTTCGGCGGAGGTTGATTGCGCAGGTACCCGTTGTTCGTTGAAATTCTGGTTCGAAGACTCGGGAGGGGAGGTCTGGAATAGCGAGTGGCTGGTGTTGCTTTTCTTAGCCGCCGGGAATTGCGCGCACCCAAGCAAGGAGATTTCTCAAAACTCCGCTACCAACAACGCTTCACAGAAATCGCAGGTTGCACAGTTTGGTGTTTGAGAGAGAGAGAGAGAGAGAGAGAGAGAGATCACATAAGAGGGAAAGTTCAAAGGAGAAGAAACAAAAAAAAAAGTCATGCAGATGTAAGGAGGACATTTCTATCTTTCTTTTCCCTCTCCCACCTCACCTCCCACCCGGCCCGGCCAGGTACGTCAGGTAGGTAGGCACCCGCCAGCCATGCCAGGGCCCCAGGAACCAAAAAAAAAAATTGCTTTTCTCGTATTTTGCATTGGTTGCATTCGGTCCCTTTTTCGAGGCAGGCAGACTCTGCCGCTCCTCCTCTGGAGAGGCTGGATCTTTCGCTCAGTTCAGTTCAGTCCAGTTCAGCTCGTTCGGCGTTTTCCTTCTTCTTCCCCTTGGTCGTCGGCCTTCTTCGTATAAAACTGGTGGTTGGGGATGACATCATTGAGGTTTAGTGGACGGGAATCGTCGAATCGGAGGTCGGGATGGGCCCCGGTACAGCGCGGTGCCAAGTTTTGACGCCCTTGTCGATAGCGGGCCGTTACAACGGGGGATCGAATCATTTTAGGCGGTTGGGGGCTTGGGGCTGACCCACTATGGACCTCCTGCTTTCCAGCCATCTGCTTTTTTCTCGACGACACCACATGGGCTGTGCTTCGGTCCGCCGGCGAGAGGAGAGTCGAGACGATGTGAGTCCCGGTTCTATATAAAGTACATGATGAAGATTATCACATGGGAATGGGGCCCTGAAGAGAACAGAAAAGGCTGTTTGACATGCACATATCTGGAAATGTGTATGATCGTTCGCTGTTGTTCTGCGATTGACGATGCCGGTCATACATAGTACCTAGCCGAGACCAGACCCTGCCAAGCCGACAGCGCAGGAAAACAAGGCATTGACAAACCACGTGGATGGCTTGTTCGAGCATGCTTGGTACCTAGGTACCTATTCGAAGCACAACATCTTGCATCAGATTCTGAAAGCCGGTTCAAAAATCAATATGAATGCTGCTAAGGAATCTCGGAATGTCAAGGGTCATGGCACATGGCATGGGATGCTTGATACATACGGCACCTGGAAGTCACACAGCGTGCGGGACGGTCTCGGTGCGCGACAGGTTCTCCGGAGTCGACGACAACGACGACTTAAAAGATACTCGAAACCATAAACCCCGAATATGCGCTGCTTGTTCTACCAGAATAGGTGTCGAAAGAGGGAATTTGGCATAATCAGTTGACATTATAAGGAAATCTTTGTGTGTGGTGTTTGAATGACAGTGGGGGGAATGGTCTTCAAACGAGACGAGACCATTCAAAAATGCTGTAGGTAGCTATATCCTCTCTTCTTTCTCATTCCCCTTCCTCTTTTTGAACCTTCAATTGTCCAAAATCCCGTCTAGCAGTTCCAGCTACAAGGCGCTTCCTTTCTTAAACGAGCGTCTTTCGGTCGCGGTCCGTTCCTAGGTCACCATCGTCAGCAACCTTAATACGGAACAAACCACAAAGCAACTGAGGAGAGGAGAGACATACATACATACCTAAGGATAAACAACACTCTGTCCCCCAAATACCACACCATCATCAACTTCACCAACGGCATAATCAACATCCTCCACAAAGCTGGTGGTGCCGATCGGCCTGTACGCAACCGCCGGCTGTTCAACATACTCGACATCCTGCTGAACGAACTGGGCAGTGCCGAAATTGTTGCCGCACCCGCAATCATCGCAGTCGCAGTCATCCGCCACATTATTGTTAACGATCATGGGCGGCATAGGCTTAGGAGGAGGGGGCGGGACGTTGTTGACGACAGTAGGCGGCAGGTTAGGCTGAGGGTTAGGATCCATATTGTTGATAACGGTAGGCGGAGCCTGAGGAGGTGGAGACTGGATATCGTTTACAACCACGGGCGGAGGAGACGGCATAGGAGCGGGGATCTCGTTGTAGATGACGGGAGCTGGGCCGGTGGGGCGGAGGCGGCACGTTGTTGACGTAGATGGGGATCTCCTTGTTCTCATGGCAACCCGGACAACCGCCGCCGATGTTGTTGACACGGTTGAAGCCCATGCCGTACGGGAACGCGTTGAATTGGTTGAAGCCGTAGCCGTAGCCGTAGGGATAGGCGGCGAAGTTGTTGAAGGCGCGGTTAAAGCCGTAGCCGTAACCGTAGCCATATGGAGCGGCGTTGAAACCGACGCCGACGGCTGGACCGGGACCGACACCGACGGCTGGACCGGGACCGCCCACGGCGGCGCGGCCAAAACCGCCGAAGCCGCCGCCCACTGGGGCGGCTGAGATGATGGTGATGAAGAGGGTGAGGAGGGAGAGGATGGTGGTAGTGAGAGTGAACGTCATGTTGGCGTTGTTTGTTCCAGCCAGGCGCTGGTGAAAGTGAATGTAAATTCCTTGATAGGTAATGGATGGTGATGGTAATAGTGGTTTGATGCTGAGGTAGCTCGTGGTTGGTCGGTCTGTCAAGACGAAGTGAGTGTTGGTGAGTGTTGGAATGAAAGTATGTGAGAGTTGCCAAGTTTGTTGCAACTCAAGATGAGCAAAAAGAATGGCCTTCGTGAGTCTGGAAAGAAACGAGAGCAAGTCCAACGGGATAGAGCCCTGGTATTTACGTTCAACGCAGACCGACAACTACCTTCGCAGCGCTCAAGATGTCACCCTGACAACCGCTAATTGCTTGCTTCATGACGTGCGGCGCCATGGTGTTGGTATGGTCGACCATGTTACCGGCTTCGTGTTCAGTTTCGGGATGTTGAGGTATACGCAGATGCCTTCGCTTGGACACCGTCTGAACACCAGAGACGAACCGATGGGTCATGGCTTTTCACGGTCATGGAAGTTCATTCTCGCGGTCCAGAACATCTATCCGAGAGACGGCTGCTTCAGTGAGTGATCCAGGTTATCAACATCATTCATTGTTTGCGAGGTATCGTATATCTGGTGGTATACGTAACAAGGGCGACATGTTGTCGGTGCGATCCTCCGTGTCCCTACACGAGACTGCACTTGCTGAAATGACGTTGTGTTGACATCGGTATCCGCTCCGTTGGCGACAAAGCGCAGGCGTCCACCACGTCACCTGAACAACGGCTAAGGTCAAAGCCGAGAGGCAGTTATTATGCGCAAAGGTGGCTGCAAGTCCCGGTCATTGCCTCCGTCCTCGACTACCTCCGGCTGGCCTCCAGTTATAAATCACCAACTTGAACCAACCATCACAGTCGCCAGCCAGCCAGATACCTCTGTCAGGCTCTTCAGCGTTCAGACAAAGCCTAAGTCCTCCCAGCTTCCACATCACATCCAGCCGAAGTTCAGCAAAACCCAGCACAAGTTCAGTAACCACCAAGATGGTCTTCAACTTCCCCGCCGACTTTGCCTCTAGCGACCCAAACTTCACCACTCTCTTCCGGCTCCTCGATGACTTCGACACCTACAGCCGCGAGGTCTCCGGCTCTCAAGACGCGGACTCCTCGCACCCGCGTCAATACCCTTCTCGCATCCAGCACGGCTCAGCTGGCGGCGGCGGCCGTTGGGGTCGTAACCGTCGTGGTGTGAACCCGCGCTTTGACATCCGCGAGACCAAGGATGCCTACGAGCTGTACGGCGAGCTGCCCGGAGCTGAGAGGGAGGATGTCCATATCGAGCTGACGGAGCCAAATACGCTTCTGATCTATGGCCGAGTCGACCGAGACTACGCACCTGTTCCTGGTGGAGAAGAGGAAGGCACCGCAAAGGGGGAGGAAAAGAAGGAGGAAGGTGGTGAGAAGGGAGGGAAAAAGGCAGAGGGTGAAGGAAGCACTGAGACAGAAGGGAATAAGAAGACGGGAGGAAAGAAGAAAGAGGACTCGTCGGTTCGTTTCTTCTTGCGGGAGCGTCATACCGGCGAGTTTGCGCGCGAGTTTGCTTTCCCTGGCACATTGCAGGAGTTTGATATCCAGGCGACGCTCGAGAAGGGTATTCTGAAAGTCGTGGCCCCAAAGCAGCAGCCGGTAAAGGGAAGGAAGATTGAGATCAAGTGATGCAAACGTGATCAGGTCATCGATATAGAAACATATCAGCTCTTGTGGCCATCGTCAAGAGGCCGTAGCTTCAAGTACATCCCATTGTTTGGCTTGATTGTGATCACACCATCAGGCATGATGTCCTTTTCATCCATACCAAGCTCCCACTCAAAGGCGAGAACGAATGCGGCAAGCAGGCATCGAAGCTCGGCCTTTGCGAATCCTTGACCAATGCAGCTTCTTGGGCCGTGGAGGAACGTCATCTGGGCATAGTTGCTGGTTACTCCACCGGTGTTGTTAGGCTTTAGTGTCAGTCGTTCCAAGGATTCTTCGCCGATGTGAACGCCCTCTTGATCAATCCATCTTTCCGGTACAAACCCCGTTGGCTCGTTGCGCCAGTTCTCGGAATATCGATTGACAATCCAAGGCGAGATCATGATTTCTGTACCCTTCTTGATTGGATGGCCTAGCACTGTTGTGTCGCGGACTGCTGTGCGGACAGTCATAGGCACCGTGGGGTAAAGGCGGAGGGTCTCGTTCATGACACCGTTGAGATACGGAAGATGTTCAAGGATACCGGCAATGTCCTGACCAGGCGCAAAGTTGGGAAAGTCGGGTAAGGCTGCACGAAGTTCGGATCGAAGAGTGGATTGCATTTCACGGTCCTTAGCAAGCAAATAGGTAGCCCAGGTAAAGGCGGAAGAGGTCGTTTCGTGGCTATAATCTGTCAGTGGAAAGCCAAGCGTGAGGTTCTGGAATGACCCACCCAGCTGCCAGGAAGGTCAGAAGCTGATCGACCAATTCGTCATCGGAAAAGTTGTTGCTCTTGATAAGCAGGGACAGGATATCGAACTGGTCGTCTCCAAGCTTCTCCATTGCTGCCTTCTTGTCCCGAACAAGTTGGGCACATATGGCCCTGATATCGGTTGTCGTCTGGTTGAATCTCCTCGAGACTTCCCACGGGAAGAGGTCGACAAACTTTCGAGAGAATATCAAGGTAAAGAAGAAGTAGGCGAACTTGGCTGGCCCTGGCTCTAGCAGGTCGGCATAATTCTTGACCAGAGGGTGATCGGGCCTTTCGAGTACGTGAAAGTCACGACCAAAGGCCGCAATGCCAACGATGTCCAGGGTGACTTTGCTCGCCCAGGCATTGATCTCGATCCTCGTGTCGTTGCCCTTCCTCTTTAGTACCCTAAGCTCATCCTTCAAAACTTGGTTCAGCTCAATCGCCTTGCTCCACATTGTCGGGTAGAGCTTCTTGATATGACCAAACTTGAATGCCGGCTGGGTATTTTTGCGGAGGAACTTGTGTTGGTCGCCCTCGACGACAACCAGGCCATCACCGAGAATTGGACGCAGAAAATTCCGAATGGTGTCGTACTTGGCAAAGTCGTACGGGTGGTGGACGAGGATGTCCGCGAGCGGTGCGGGCTTGGTAATCAGCATGGAAGTGCCAAAGGACCCTTGCAAGATGATAATGCCATCGTTGGGAGTACGTTCGGCGAGTTCGAGGAGTAGCTGGCCTGGCGGAGCCTTGCCCCGAAAGCGAGCCAATACTCGCCAGAGGCTGAGGACCTTTGGTGCTGGAAATCTTGACAGAAAGTGGAAGTGGACGGGCCAGAGATACAGCTTCCAGGCGAGAAAGAAGACAAAGTTTGCTGCCAGGATCGCCAGGACAAGCGAGGTGGTGGAGAGTGGCAGAGCATTACGGTAGCTTGTTTTCTTGACGATAAGCACTTCGACGAGTGCTAGCAGAGTGACTCGTGCGAAACTGAACGGGTTGCCGGGCAGCGGCATGATTAGGGTAGCGAAGGCTCTTTGATCTGAGCTTCTTGAAGCTATCGTCAAGGTAAGAGTTGGGAAGATGTGGTGTTGACGTTTTCAATGGGAACTGACGCCCGGACTTGCGCTAGCCGAGGCATCCTTGGCATCTGATCGTCAACCAAGTAACGACAAACCAGGAAGCCGATGATCTCATTGGTTCGTTCGCATTGCTTGCTCAGGAACGCCAACAATATCTTCGTTTGGTAAAGTATCGTGGCTGACACGTGATGAGACGCGTAATAAGAGGGGCTTGGAGGAGTCCTCAATGTTGGATCGGAGAGACAGCGAGGGAAGGGGTTGTGCAGGCATTGCAGACGCCGACGGTGTGATTCCGTGGTAGTGATCTTCTGCTGTCTGAAAGGAACAGTGGCCGATGGGAGTCAAAGACAGTTGCAAAGGGCGATGCTTGAATGGGTTTAGTTTGATGATTGAAAAAGACTGATGCACATCATCCCCCACGGCGCGCACGAGCCAAGTCGGCCAAAGAGGTTCTCACGGACGTCATTCTTGGCATCAACACCCTAACAATGTTATTCTTTCAACCATCATGGTCGGCTTTATTGTCTTTCATGGCGGCTCTTGATAACACGAGGCTGGTTTAACAATGTTTTGATGTCTGATCGGTCCCAGCGTAGGCCGACCTTCCCATATGGAAACACGGCACAGTTACAGGAGCTCAAGCCGCTATCGTCAATTGCAAACGGCGTTCGATGCGAAGCCTTTCGCAATGTCCGCTTTTCACCATCGGAACCTCATGTTTTTGATCAAGACTGCGGAGAGCTGAAGAAGGGATGGTCTGCAAGTTATAACCTCATGAAAGCCCGTTGTGGAAACCGCGGAGGGTGAACGACCTTTAGGCCCATGCCCGGGCCGGGATGGATCCAAATTGGGGCATTCGGACGGCCATGCTCCGAGCACTGGTGCCGTCTTTGCGGGCCGGTCGCCACAACCCCGAACCGTCAACAACTTCAAGTCTGGAACGCCTGTCTTTAACATCGTTGGTTGATATGCAGTTGTTCAAAAAGTCCCATGTATAACAGTCTTTCGAGACTTCACCTCCTCCTCGCTCCTCCTCTGTCTTCTCTGCCTCCCCTCCCACTCCATTTCCTTCTCCCCTTTCCATCACCACCTCCTTTCTCTGTATCTCGGCCAACCAGGCCAAACCCCCCAAGAGATGAAGTCCTTCACCTGCACCTCCCTCCTCCTAGGCCTTACCTCTCTCACGGGGTCCACCACCGCCGCCTCCCTCCAACAAATAACCACCGACTTCGGTCCCAACCCCACCAACGTCGGCTTCTACATCTACGTCCCTGACGTCCTCGCCTCCAAGCCCGCCATTCTCGTCAACCCGCACTGGTGCCACGGCACCGCACAAGCCGCCTACGCCGGCTCGCAGTACGCCACCTGGGCCAACACGCACGGGTACATCGTCATCTACCCGAACTCGCCCAACTCTGCCGATCAGTGCTGGGATTTATCCTCCAAGGAAGGGTTGACGCACGATGGCGGTGGTGATTCTCTCGGTATCGTGAGCATGGTCCGCTGGACGATCAAGAAGTACAACGCTGATGCGTCGCGGGTTTTCGTCACGGGTGTGTCGAGCGGCGGGATGATGACCAATTTGCTCGTAGGGGCGTATCCGGATGTGTTCGCTGCCGGAAGCGCCTTTGCTGGTGTGCCGTTTGGATGCTATGCGTACCCGGGCAACAATTCGGGGGTCTATGGCTGGTGGAGTGATGATTGTGCGAAGGGACGGGTTACCTATACCGGCGCGGAGTGGAAGGCGATTGTCCAGGCGGCGTATCCGGGCTATACCGGGTGGAGGCCCAAGTTTCAGACCTTCCATGGGACGGTGGATGAGACGGTGGATTATGTCAACTTTGGGGAGCAGGTGAAGCAGTGGACTTCGGTGTTGGGGCTGAGTGAAACGCCGACCAAGTCTACAGCCAACACACCCGTCAATGGATGGACAAAGTACGACTATGGGACGGAGGGGAGGTTTGAGGCCTTCAGTGCCGCGGGTGTGAGCCACGGCATTCAGAATCAGGAGAGCACTGTCATGGCTTTCTTCCAACTGAACTGCACGACTGCTTGCTTCTCTTGGGGACAAGGCGGACAGGGAGGGACCTTACCATCTGTGTCGAGTTCATCAACGAAGAGCTCCAGCACCAGCACGGTGGCAGTGACGAGCTCGGTAAAAACAACCTTTACTACCACGAAGGTCACATCGGTTACAAAGCCAGCAGTGACGACGACGGCTTCAGTAGGCGGGCAGACGTTGTGGGGGCAATGGTAAGTGCTTGACTTGTCTCTGATAACTATTTATCTAACAGTGGGCTGACAAGTTCTCGTTAAACTCAAAGTGGTGGCAGTGGATATACCGGACCAACTGCTTGTGCAACAGGTACATGCACCACGTATAATCCTTATTACGCCCAGGTTAGATCCTCTCTTTTCTTCGTATACCTGGTCCATATCGTCGGGTTATCTCAGTTTGCTAACTATATCTAGTGTACACCGTCCTCTTGACGTGTGTGTAGTGACGGACGGTTGGAGACGCAGTGGCTGTACAACTTCCCTGTCATATTTAATTAATTGCAAGATAACCTCCTTGAAGCCAATACCGGAACTGCACGAGGTTTCTTTCTCGAACCTTGTTATGGCTGCCTCATGTTAGCATGTGGTCCGCGTCTTAGGGTCAGCATCAAGTACACATCGGTTCCAGTCTGAGCTGAGATCTGACCACTTACACTTGGGTCACCTGCATCCCAAATTGCGAATTCCATGAGTACACGCGCTTCCGAACAAGAATAGTTCTCATGCACGAACCCAAATGAGTAATGGTGGTCGTCCACCTCCTCCCATGTCAGCCTCTCCGCCATTTCACACAGTCCCACTTTCCTCAGCAGGTACCTTTGTACGTCGAGATTGCCTCGGCATGCTGCCAAGTTGATAGGATGATGAGCACAAGTCATTGTCGCGTAGGGTAGTCCTGGAACTTCCCTGCCTCTAGAGAATATCTCGAGTGTACCAGGACACGCGTGAAAGGGGCAAAGCCCACGGGAATGAGACTCTTGTACCTTTATTCCGTTGTCCAAAAGGTACTGAACAATGCCAAAATGATCGAACTGAACTGCAAGATCCAGGGGGTGCCACCAGAACATCGGGTATGGATGATCCCACATGACCCACAAGTCGAACTCGCGTTGGAGGATGAAGTTAGAGAAAGTGTATGAGTTGTTCTTAGACGCTGTTTTAGTTCCTTGGAGGTCTTCCTTCCAAAATTTGCTCCAAAAAATACCATCGCCATCGTCGCTGTTATTGCTACTCTTTCCGCCGTCACTACTGCTGCTGGGGCTGCTGCCATCCCTGTCTGTATCAGCAAGGCTCTCGGCGATGTTTTCCTCGCGGTATGTAGCATTGAAGAGTCGGACGTAGGTTGTAGCGTTGTGCCGGTCCATCTCCCTGAAGATAACCGCTTCGCCCCTCCGCTTTAATTTCCCCCACGCGTCCTCTTTGGCTTGCATCAGAGGAGCACGTTGAGTCCATGCTTGTCTCAGATTGGCACCAGCGGCGTGGGAAAGTTGGAGTGTCCTTAGACTGCCCCACCTGGCTGCCCAGAACATCGCGATGGGTGAGCCAGTTTGGACATCATACTTGTAGAGGAGCGGGTTGTATAGGTCGTGGAATAATCGGCAGGTTCTTGCCAAAGCTGCGAGATCCTGGAATGATCCCAGATGGATTGGAATTTCGAGAAGCAGTTCGACTGGGAGTTTCTTGAGCGACATTATTTCGAGTTGAGCTGAGCTTGGACCGGTTGCTGGGTCGAGAACTCGAGTTTGATTTGACGATGGATTGTGAGGGTAATTGTGAGTCAGTCTGGGGAGACGCGACGACATCAAAAGAGTGTCAGTGACCAACCTCCTCAATTCTGAGGGCAGCTACTGGTGGAAGACGTGGCAAAGGTGATGGTGATCCGAGGCAGTTTGGGCCTTGATCACTTGCCAGTGGGAAAAGCGTGCGAGAGGGACGGAATACAAGGCTCTAGACTTCGATCAACTGGTGCGCCGAGATTCGTGAAACTCAGGTCGGTTATGAGGACAGCTGTGAAATGGTTGACTTGACGGACGTCGCAATGGAAGAGTAAAGTGCCGCAAATGGCATGCGTTGAGGTTGTGAGATGCAGACCAGAGGGAGAAAAAATGACAGTTGAGGTGATGCTTGGTGGGGAATTTATTGGCTCAAAGATTTGAATTTCGCCGGTAGGTAATCACTCCTCGAACAAGAACGTGTGCAAAAACGACGAGAATGGGAGGCACAGGCAGACGGCGAGATGAGGTAAGTAACTGCCCAGTTAGGGTACGAGGTCCTACCTTCCGTATGGCATAACATGAAGGAGCAAAGTTCATATTAGGTAGAGGTATGATCATGGAAAATTCTCGCTGTGCATGGAACGTCAATTGAAGGAAGGGTGCGCCTACAGGTTGTTCCGGGCAAACGGAAGCGGTAGGGAGAAGCCACGTAATGAGAGGCAAGCCGTGAGGAAAGTCCTGCTACTCAAGATCATGGGACGTGGATTTCACTTGGCCATCGACTGAGCTTGATGAAGTGCTCGAATTGTACTTCTTTACTCTTTCCAATCTTTAGGCATGCGGTTAATGCTATTCCAAAACAACCCATTGCGAAACATTGAGAACCTGACGAGAACATCCAAGCCATAAGACGTGACGAAAATTTTAGAGGCCTGCCCACGTTGCCAACCTTCCCGACTGTCACCCCTAGAGCACAGCAAGCCAGAGACATATACCAGCACTAAAGGAGGAATACTGATTATGTGCCAACAACTACCACCATGGCTAAAAAGGACTTGTTAGCATCGCTTTATGAACGGGCACATTTACCAAAAGACTGGTAGACTTACAGTTGTGCCGTCCGGGAACGCGATCAACCTATTGATGATCTCGGTAAAAAATCTATCTCGATCCTGGGTGTTCTCAAAGTCAACCACAAGTTCATCCTCGATCCCAACAAGACGCTTCTCCGCCGTCCTCATGCCGGTAACGTCCAGCAAGAAGTTTCCCATATCCCAATCCTCCTTGCAAGCGACCAGCCCAAAAGCATGGTGGATAGAGTATCTCCAGTCGGCATTGGGTTGTATGAAGATGGGGTACGTCCCGCGGAGGCATCCTTGGTAGGAAGACGCGAAGGAAATGTCCTTTTGACGGCACAGTCCACGCGAATTGGCATGTTGGATGCTGACGCCATTCTCTACCAAATACTGGATGATTTCTTTGCGCCCAAAATAAACAGCGAGGTCAATGGGGTGCCACCAGAATACAGGAAAGAGTCGCATGCCCGGGGCACTATCGTTGAGAATTCCGCAATGTCGCTCAAAAAATTCATTGCACCAAGTGTATCTGGAGTCTTGTGAAGCCGTCTTGAGGAGCGGCTGTCCGACTTCGTCCGTGTCTTCAGGCCAAAAATGGTCCTCTTCAGTCGTATGATGTTCGTCGAGGTGTTGGGGCTGGTAGGGCTCTTCCCATGGACCTTCGTCTATCACCCATGCCGTGTCGCTTTCTTCGTCCTCTTCCGCTTCCTGTTCGAGTGGATCCTCGCGCTCCTGGTCGTTGTCAAGCTCCATTTGGATCCAGCCGTTGATGAAGCCTTCTATGCCCATGAAGGGCGTCTCGGGCCAGCCATTGTTGGTTTCTTCGTCCGTTTGGTCGTCCTCAGGGTCTTTCAGTCCGAGTGCAACCTTCTGGTAGAATTCCGGGCTGTGCCGGTAAGGATTGGGCGGAAGGCGTTGGATCGGCTGCTTTGATGTCCAGGTCTGGTCGAGTGCTGCCCCGGCCTTATGAACTAACTTAAGCGTATCCAAGCTACCTGACTGACAAGCCCAGAACAAGGCACACGGGCTTCCACTGCGTACATCCAGCTTGTAGAGCCAAGGGTTCAAGACGCGGTAAAACCACTTGTTGGTCCTGGTTAGTCTTGAAAGGTCAGCGAAAGAGTGGCAGGACTCGGCGATTTGAAGTAACATTTCCACGGAAAGTCCTTCTATAGTCAATAATCCCTTGGATGTCTGTTGGAACTCCATTGTAGTCGATTTCCACGGGACTCTGGTTTGGTGGAGTAGTAGGAACTGTGTGGTCTATGATGCTGTATAAAGGTGCTGATAAAGATGATCGCCTGTGCAAAAAGCTAGTTGATATCCAAAAGAGCGTCACGACTCAGGGCGTAAGGTAATTATATGCTACCTAGCGAATGTTGTGTGGTGATTCAGCGTTGAGCGAATGGATGTTCTGTATCAGACGAGGAGCTTGGGAGCATTATGTCATATTCATCTTTGTATGATGCAGCGAGCAGAGGCCAGGTCTAGAAGAACAACGCAAAAATGCATCCATTCTGCCAGGCTCTTGCATTTGTGAAAGAGGTCAGTTGCAAACTGTTCACGGTAACTCCTGGCCTCATGTGTGGAAGGGGGAAAGGACTTGGCATGACTGAGTAAGGCTTTAGGAAGAGGACCTTCAAATCCATACCTGTCCGTCATTTAGCACACATCTTCAGCTTCCTCTCTCAAATTCCACCGTGGTGGGCTCTGGATAAGTTCGGAATACTCAACTCGTCGATATACCTTCGTCCTCCGGACTTAAGCAGGTCATTTGTCAGCTGCTGGTTTCGATAGGGGGTCAAGGAGACGGGGGTGTGATAACCCCATTGTTGGCAGTGAAGATCATTGATACTCGTGAGAATAACTGGGTGACGTGTTTGTCGTCTTGGGACATGAAACAGCGTGCGGCTTGATCTCGATTGACAGTCTGCTTTTGATGCTCGGCCGCTGACGAAGTTGGGACCAGGCATCACTTACCAAAACGGCAATTGCGATGTGTAAGAATTAGCGTGGTACGTACCTGAGTACGCCTGGGCTGCCAAGTCTATTAGTACATTGATTATTTAGCGTTGATTGATACACACAAATACCGAGCCAAGCTAACAGCAGGAGGAAAAGTGGTTACAGACACTAACAATTTCAAAAAAAAGGTGGACAGTGGCGCCGCCTTGGCTAGCCAAGGCACCGGTTCCCTCTCAGACTTCCATCTTCTACATGCTCTTTATTCCATCATCGTTCACAAACGACAACCAACACCAGGACAAGAGGTAGGTAAAATCAAGGAATGCTGATACCAAACACTACCCATTGCAACGTGTATATTGACAAATTGACAGCCCAACCACTACCTATTGCCAGTCCTCCTCCCGACACGCCGATAGCGATAAACATGGCACCATTGCCCCCGCCACAATCTCCTGGCCATGCGGTAGATGAATCCAGCAATTGGCATCGATAAACGGATACGTCTTGCCCGGACTTTGGTCCTTGCTTATGCGAACCACCTTGTGTCGTCCCCCTTCGCTCGCTGTCACCCGTCCGTGACGAAAACAGTCCAGACAGAGCGGCCCACAATCGTTGCCCACAGATGCCTCGACTGGTGCTCCTGCGTCCATGTTCGGTTCCGAATCCTGTCTTGTCGACACCCGCAGTTCCAACGTGGCCAGAAACGGCTTGTCAGGCCTCTCTCCTCGGACGAACTGGAGGTATGGCACGACCAGGAAACGGAAACAAGCTGCCGTCGCACAAGGGTCACCGGGAAGCCCAAAAAATGATACAAGTCCACTGTTAGGTGTCGTGGGTTTGAGTGACGCAAACATGGCTGTGGCTCCCGGTCGCATGGCCACCCGTGGAAATGGAATTCGCCTCCTAGATTCTCGATCACCGACCGGACAAACCCCGATCGTCCCGGGGTGGCTGCTCCCGTTGTAATCAGGATGTCGAACTTGTCCGTGGCCATCGCCTCACGGAGTGCCCTTTCTAGCGTCGCTGGTTCATCGTCGGCCAGCAAACCAAGGAAGGTTGGCTCTGTGCTCCATTCCTTCAGGGCTGCCATCAGGTAAGGTCCATCGGCATCATATATATACCGAGCATCGGTCTTCTTCGTTGCAATCGTTCCATCGGCCCAGTTGACATCGGTCCGTACAATCTCCCTGCCTGTTGACCACACTCCAACCCGCAGCAGCGGCTCGACAGCGACCTCCTTGATCCCGACCGTCGCCAAAGGCAACACATGGCTGGACCGAATCCTTGTCCCCGGTCTTATCAGTCTGTCCCCCTTTCCGATATTTGCTCCGGCTCTCCGGCGGTTGGCATTGGTAGTCACCGGCTTGGTAAGCATGATGAACCTGCTGCCCAACTGAGGATCTGCGTTTGGTACCTCTGATAATGGCACTTCGCGGACGTCGTTTACCCAAGCGCATGCATCCATGTATGTCATGTCTTCCGTGGTGTCGGGGAATCGGGCGCCAACCATGATCTCCATGCACTGGTGGATGCCATCAGGGCCTCTACAAGATGGTATGAGTAGTGGTTTGTTGCCTTGCATGATCGTTCCCATCACGCGAAAGTATATCGGATTCGAGGGCGAGGCGTTGATGGTTACGGAGGATGTCATGGCGAATCCGTCGGAAGCGGCTATGTCGAAGGGTGGCGTTGACTCGGGGCTCAAAATATCTTTGGCTGTTATCCGGCCGACTGAGTCTTCGAGGCGAACGAGCTCTTCTGTCCTCGTTCTTCGTCTGGACACATCATAGGCCGCGTTTTGCAATTCTTCCAACGCAGCTTTATACTGCATCGCCATTGTCTTGAGGTGTTTTGTATGCATCTCGGGAGTTGCTTCTTGTCAAGTACTGGGCCGCCCGCAATGGTTGGTTTTGGTTTGACTGGAGTGGATATATAGATAGTTGAGGTTGTAAGGATGACGTCGATGAGGAGTCTCGAGAGTCCTCCAGTCTGGGCAGTCGGGGCCACATGCACGGTTCGCCAACTTCATCTCCGCGACCTACTTATCCACCCGCACTGGTCACAGGGTCCTGGTTGTCGTCGTAACTTGTTAATTTGTTCAGAAAATTTCCGCTTTTCCGAGCTACAGGGTTCGAAGCGATGTATTCATCGAACCGAACCAAACACTCATCGATTGCGCTCGAAACCTTCTCATAACCTAATACGGCTCCATTTCCCTTGGATGACGTGCAAAATCAATATTCTCCCTCTTCACCAGCTTTATATCAGGCCATCGGTACCAATATCCGCTGCTCGTGGCCAAACCCGTTCCTCTTAACTCCACGTCGGTTTAGTAGCGTCTGTAGCCTGGTCTTAAGTATGCAGCTCCATGGACCCTGTTGTTGAAGGTTGATTGTCCACGACGACGCCTTCGTTCTGGGCCGTCTGACTTTCCCGGGGGCAGTCGACGACGCCGCGATAACCACCCTCCCGTCCCCGGAAAAGGACATCGCACGCATCTCGACAGTTCCTGAAGCAGCAGCACAAGTCGCAAGCCCACGCAGCATTTACACCAGCGCAGGTGCACCACTCCTCCTCCTTTTTGTTGGCGCGTCGGAACCACTTTTACGCGGGTTTGCACCACTTCTCAACAATCATGCCTATTATTATCCACCACAGCAGACCGAGGGGCCATAGCAACATCTTGATAATTTCCCAGACCAGTTTTGTGCGCGGGAACTTCTCCCGCTCGTCTTCCTTTGCGGTACGGCGTGCTTGACTGTCGCTGTACCGCAAGAAGGCCATGAACACTCCAATAAAATAAGTGATTGACCCAACAAGGGCAAGGGCCATAAAGGTATCGTTGGACAGGCCTGTAGAGGTGTAAATGGAAGTTGACGTCGTGGTTGAAGAGGACAATGAGGAGGAGGAGGAGGAGGAGGAGGAGGCCAGCTGTCACACGGACATTTGCCCACAGTTCTGGGTTAGGGTTGCCGAAGCTTAGCAGAGTCTCAATGCCTGACGTCAGCCTTATGAATGCCCGGCGGCCGTAGGTCGCGAGGCTCAACCTCACTTTGACCAGACCCTCAGCCACCGGCATTGTTTACCTAAGCCCCTCTCGATGCCATCAGGCTAGCGAGCCAACCATCGAACTACCGACGACGCTAGTAAGCGAGATGAGGCAATCCCCAGTCATCACAGAAGCGATCACAGCAACCGAGCAAGAAGCAGAGCGACCGAACGAGGACGGGCGCCAGAAGAAGGAAGTAGAATGGTGGAGGGCACTCAGGAAGATCCACATGTATGAAGATCGCTATATAGATACCCTGAGGCCTCAAGCAACAAGGCTCGGTACGTACCTCAGTACGCACCAAACCTCTTTGTATAAGAAGGCCTGGGAACTCAGCCCTCGTCTTGAGGGTTGAAAGGATCAACAAGGCCTTCCAGACCAAAGTTAATTATCAGCTGAATTGAACTACTGTTCCAAGCCCATACTCTGCCCTTGTCACACCAGCACCATGCCGGCCACATACGCACCTGCCATGGTGTTGGTGAGTTGTTGTTAATCTGTTGCCTAGTAATTTTGTGCGTGCGTTTGGGTGACGAAGCAGATTCGTGGGAAGTCGGATCTGATACGATGGAGTTATAGGTTAGCATGGTTGCTGATAAAGTGTAAGCGAGGTGATGTTTAGGTTGCAATGGTAAATCTGCACTTAAAAACGTTCGAGTCCAGAAACGATGATGTTGATTAACTGTTTGTTTGGTGGAATGGTTGGGATCTTGCTGCTGTTTGTGTTGACGATGGTGGATGTTTCGGATGGTCAGAAGAGCAGGGAGTGGTGAGCAACGAAAAGGGAAGAAGGTGCGAGAGATGCAGGAAGAGGAGAACGGCCCGAGATATAGATCTCTAAAGGAAAGGAATGCAAAGCTTGGATATATGGCTGAGTTGATGGTTTGATGCCCGCCAGAAAAAGAGAATTGAGGGCGACGGATGTCCGATGCAGTCCCCACAAGCTGGAATCAACTGAGCCAAACCATGGCGGTGGTGCTCAACTGCCTTAACCACTCTCTGTCCTTTTCTTTCTGCATGGTCTTGCAGAAAAAAGCTTTCTTCTCCTCCAGAAGGTCCACGGTGCAGTTTTATGCAGCCGGATTAAACAAACAAGGTGCGGAGCATGCACCCGCCTTCGGCGACAACCCTGATTTCACGGAACAGGGTGTGCAACGCCCATTCGGAAAGACGGAAACACCATAGGAGATGGAGCGCGATTACATTCTTGCCAAACGAAGCTAGAACCGCGCTGTCATTAACGAACGAATGTCACGAAGTTGCTCGTGAAAATTGATGTTGTGTTCTCAACGAACTCAGACTGACAACGATGGTTGATGAGCAAGGATGTGGTTGTCGACGACTCTGATGAACCCACCGATCGACGACATGGACAGGGATAGCAGCTAAGAGAACGCAAATAAGCAAAACGACGCCAAGATATGGCGATAGCTTCATTGTCGTCATCCGCTTGATCTCTAAACGGCATTAGAAACCAAACAAAAAGTTATTCATTCAACAACCGCTCTTAAGAGAGAGCGGAAAAGTGTACAAAAAAGAGGACAAGAGCAGCGATCAAACGGCGAACGTCACGACGTAGTGGAAGGGAGTAGAAGAGCCCTATTTGCGTAGCCCGAAGACGCCATCGTAGCCGTTACTTCCACTGGAGAGCCTGGTATCTTAGAGGACCCAAGACACCACTTAAGGTGCTTTAGGCCCTTCCAGGGGTCCTTGCGGCCGTGAAATGCGCAACCCCTCACAAGCTGAGTTTTAGGCTGAGCGCACCGCACCGCTCGACCACACTGCCAGTTGTCTTTTGTTAAAATATACTAACTTGAGACCCTTTATCAACCCCGTTCCAAGGTCGTGATGCCGGTCCGGTCGGTTATGCTTTGGTGCATATTTACCGGCACTCTCCTTCCTTGCCATATCGGCCGCCCTGGGCTGAGTTCCGTGTCCGTTCTTTCCGCAGATCAAGCCTATCTTGCGTTTTCGTATCCCACCTGCGACACTCGCGTTCTGCACTCGCGTTGACACGGCAATTTGCGATGCTCAACTGATAAGTGGGTGAAGAGGGATCAGAAGAGTTTTGGTACGTACAAACTCGATTTCAATCCTATATACACTCGCGGCTAACACTGCAGCCAGACAGACCTCATCCCGCGACCAACATGCCTTGACGACCTCGACGCCGTCCGCATCACCACTACATCCGACCACCCCCAACCTTCAATTCACGCCCTAGAAGAAACCAGCAAAAGCGCTCTTGACCGCCTGCGCAACCAACTTCTGGATCTGCACACCAGGGTGGTAGTTATTAAACCACAAGCAGCTCACGCCATCCTCGTTGTAGCAGGTAGCATCCGGCGCACCATACGCCGTCGGGTTCTTGACGGCCTTCTCAAAGGGCGCCACGGTGTCGACGAGCTTGCCGGTGGCATCGCAGTTGACTTCGAGGAAGGCCTCCAGGCGCGAGGCAAGCAGGGAGTTGTACTTGGCGATGGCGACCTTTTGGGTAGCGACGGTGGAGGCACCCTCGTCGATCATCAGGGGGGTGTAGTAGATGGCTGTTTGTGCGTTTCTTGTTAGCAACCGACTGATCTTGTCCAAGGTAGATCCCAGGAAGAGAATGAAAGAAGAAACTTACGAGCAGCGCCCAAAAGCACAAAGTTCCTCGCTCCGGCTTCATACAGAACCTGCAGCCGTCCGAAGTAACTATCCATAATCTTTCCGTACAACGCATTCATCTCCGACTCGCCCAACCACCAGCTGTTGCCGACATCATTGACACCGATCCAGACCGCAAACAGACTGTTCTCGCTGTTCCAAGGCGCATAAGCCGGACGGCTGGCGATGCTGGAACTAAACTGGGCAACCTGGTCGACGAAGCTAAGCACGGTGGGCGCAAAGGGCGTGACGAGCGAGGCGTTGGTTGTGGCTCCGCCCGAAGCAAAGTTGTAGGACAAAGTAAGGGAGGTGTTGAGCTGAGAAGCCAGGAAACCCACCCAGTTGAGCCCGCCTGAGGCAGTCCAGCCGGGGAGGGCAGGGTTGCCGAGAGGGTTGGATGACGACGGCTTGGAGCCGTTGATGTCGAAGCCGGTTTGGGAGTAGGAGTCGCCGAAGGAGATGAAGTACTTGGCGGTGGTGGCGGAGGGGGCAGGCACGGAGCTTGAGCTAGTAGACTTGATGCTGGTGCTGGAAATCTTGATGGAGGTGGACAAGGTTGTGCTAGTGCTGGCCTTGCTGGTGGTCGTGGCCGAGACGGTGACCGGCTTGGTGCTGGTCGTGACGACCACAGCGGAGGTAGGCTTCGGCACGCATTGGTCTGGAAGCTGGTCAGTCATGGTGACGGTCTGAAGAGATCTTGATGAGTCAACAAGCTTGACCTACAGTAATAGTCGTTATATGACGTGCAAGTAGCTACCGAAGTACAAGCTGAGCCGGCAGACTGCCATCCGATACCACCACATTGTCCCCACAGGGGAATATCAGCAGCGGCAGCTAGCGCTGGGGCCAGAGCCATGAGGCCGAGTTTGAGAGCAGCCATGGTGGATCGTGGTGTTGGTCCTGAAGAGAAGGTAGCACGCAGGATGATCGACAAACCAACTCGAAAAACACCAGAGGAACCGTCAAGATATACATTATTGCACATGCATCACAGATCTGGACCGGAACACCGGTATGGGACTCCTCTCTTCGCTAAGACGAGATGGTGTAAGATGATTGGCGGAGTAACCAGGCGACAGGGGTCTGGGTGGACCATTCGACCATTCGGAAATGCAGGAACGCGGAGGGAACAGTTGCGTTCGACCGCCGACTGGCCAGCCAGGAATCCCTACCCGAACAGCCGCCGTTAGAAGTCCGTGGAGACTCATCTGGGAATAGACTCGCCTCCTTCCCTGTTTGTGCTTAGCCCATGGGGTTATGTTGTGTTCCGATGCCAAGGCGTATATGCACGATGTGATGCTGTCGGTGATCCTAAACCATGGTGTTATGGTATCGACATGGCGTGGATGACGACGCAGACTATATCAAAGGAGACAGCTGACGGAGCACTCTAAAGACAAGACAAGGGCAACACAGACGCTCTATTAGGGGTATATGGACAAAAACACAAGCATCCTCCTCATGGCAACACAACACCAAACCGTGAGAAACAAAACCAGAACCTTGAACCCCGACACCACCCATCCATCATCAGTCATCACAGACCGTCTCTTTCCAAATCGGAAGAAACATGAACACCACAGACGACAAGGCCGCAAAGATCGTCCCACCCACCATACTCTGCATCACAATCTTCCTTTGCAACCTCCTCAAACTCCGTTCCTGCACCTTCAACCTCTTGTCAAAGATCATCATCCTCCCTACCCTTTGTCTTACAGACCTCCTCTTCGTCTCATTACCTTCCTCATTTTCTTCCTGTCCACCATTGATTTCCAAATCTTCCCTTGATCCCGCTTTCTCCCCATCATTCAACCTCTCCCACGGCAGCCTTTGCCTCCTCGAGAACAGCAACAGAAAGAAGCAACTACCCCTCAACCCGCTCAACACCAAACTCATACCCACCACCCAGAACCCAAAGCCGGCGAAACTCTCCCACCTGCTCCTTGCGCCCCTACCTTCCGTGAACGCCCTGACCAGAACCACCAAGAAGCCCAACGCCAACGACACGAATCCCAAGAACGTAGCGAAGCAAATCGTCTCAAACGTTCCGTTGCTCACCCCCAGTCTGACAAAATTTCGGTGTGAGCACGAGTGAAGCAAATGATAGACGTGGTCCGCAATCGGTCGGAGGATTTTCGGATCTGGTAGGGTGCCCTGAGGCGTGGCGGCAAGTGCGTCGAGAGCAGCGCGGCGGAGGGACATTGGAATATTCAGTTCCTTGGGTGACGACGGCAGGAGGAAGAGGTTGATGATGGTTTGGATTTCCGAAGGCGGGATGGGACCCGGCTGAGGGGCCAGGAGGCCCAGGGTGCCGGACTTGTTGGCCGGGTGGGAGGGGTCGGGGGTCGGGTCGCTCGGCAGGACGGCGGTTCGGCTGTTGTTGAAGTTGTGGAAGAAGGTTGTCGTCGGGAAGGCAAGGTTGGATGATGGGGCGCAGGGACCACCTGGATGGCAGGATGGATGGGCGATGCTGGCGGCGCATGGGGCTGAAACGGCGATTAGCATCGAGATGCGGTGGAGGGTATCTCCCGCTGCTGTGGCTGTTGTTAGCAACTTGGAATTCCGAAACCAACCACCCGAACACCTGCAAAGTGCACGGTGCGGAGGATTGTGTTTGCTGACATGGGGCTTAACTTACCCTTCTCAGAGTCTCCATCTCCCTCACCATCACTGAGGTGATAATGGCTCTTCTTGAAGACAGACGACGATACGCTTCCACTTTCTGACGCCGTCTTAACCAACACCTCGTCCTTGTCGTACCGGGACGCAAGACCTTTGTTGTAGGACTCTTCGTAGTTCTTGAACCAGATATAGAACTCGAGGTTCTCGGATGAAAACTCAATGTATTTGAGATACATGTAAAAGTCGTATAGTGACATTGGGCTGCCTATCGATACCACCTTGTCAGCATATCATCCCACTGATGCGACTCTAGGAAGTCAATTTACATGTCTTGTTTTGAAGAATACGCTCAAGCCGTAGCCGACTCGGTATCATTCCCTCCCTTCCCGCATCCGGACTTGGCGACCTCTTTCCAGAGCTGACATTGTTGGCGTATTCTCTGAAGTTCCTATACTCCGGCTTCTTGTACCAGACCAACCATCCTGGCAACTGCATGATCACGCCGGATAATCGCTATATTTCGAACATGAATCGTCCCGTGGGTTTGGTTCCCCGGCCGCGAAAAAAAAACAACAACAGATGTATGGGAGTATGGGAGTCAAGGATTTGAAAGTGAAAAAAGGTCCTGCGGGTTTGGGGGACGAACTAGCTTTGTACTAGGCCCTTGCACAGACAATAGCAGGTCAGCAGTCTTTGCTTGGTTGGCTAGCCCAAACAGCTAGGCAAAGGGCGGAATAGCACCGTGCTTTGACCTGGCTTGGTATGCAATGGCTTGACCAGTGACCACACCACCGTCATGCTGGAAACCTAAAACAAGCAAATACGTAGATCGGGTTAGGCAGGATTCGGACATCCAGACAAAGGGCGGACGCCACCAGGCACTCCCGTTGGTGGATGGTGTTGACGATCTCTCGAAGGTATTGGCGAAGAACAAGCAAGATAAGCCAGGGCCAGCCTGACCATAAGATCTCTGTTAACATTCATTCAGCTGCTCCATACTGGACATTCGTTATCGAGGGCTTACACAAGGGTGGAGCGCCACGCGACGTATGCTCGGACCGACATTCAATAAGAACATGTGGCTCGCCATGCCTTTTGCCCGTTGCATGCACCAGCCCTTGCTTGCTTGTGCACCTCGCCGAGCAAAATGTTTGCGTGGTCCCCAGACCTGCCGTGTTCATCTCAATTAGAGGCTCATCCCAACTCGTTCATTTAACATTCTTGCGGTTTGCCAGGTGGTTGGCTCTCGAAGGATCCCTTACAGTGGTCGGTACACGTGTAGGCATCCTCTTTGCTTCTGGAAGATGCCGATCACCTCGCTAATCCCGCTGGGTCAACTCAACCGGAATCTCACCGAATCCAGCTCGGCCAAAACAGGACGATCAGGACCAATGCGTAGAAAATCGACCTATCAGGGCATATCGTGGCGCTATTGGGAGTAACCTTGAAGCGATAATTCCCTGCATGGTAACACGAATTTGGTATCCATGCGGGGTGCCGGGATCGAAACGAGGTGGAGGAGCTGAACAGAAGCTATCGATGTCCTTGGACTAGCCAAGGGGTTTCGCTTCTCGGTAACATCCATGCTGGTAGGGCCAGCGGAGTCCAGGCTATCATGGCGAACAAAGAAGACGACGCTTTGACATTCGGAATCTCTTGTCGAGAAAGAATGAGATTAATCGGTTGTCGAGTGGAATGAGGGTGGATTTTTCCCAGCCAAGAAAAGTGCTAGGGAAGACCGTTGATCAGCTCGGAACAATTACGATGGTGGCTTGATGGGCTTCGGAATGGAAGGGGGAATGCGCTAACCTATATCTGATGGCGCCAGCGCTTTTCTTTGTCTCGGCACGGAGAGTCGTTCCGTGCATTTGTCTCATTTCATTGTTGCTTTTCTTTTAATCGGCAATATCTTCCAACGTCTTTCTCTGTTCTGTTGTTTATCTTTGTTTTGCTTCTATGCTTTCTGGTTAGCGTGTGCAAATTAGCCATTTGCTCTCACCATCTGTAGCATCGGCAACCAGGCTGATGCCGAAGCCACAACGGGCTGTGACTTTTGCAGGTTAATTCATACCACAAATCATGTGGAGAAATCCCGAAACCTTGCCCAAGCATGGTTATCTTTTTCGGCAGCAGGATTATAAAAGGAGAAGATCAGACGGGAAGGGCTCAAAAGGAAAGATGATGCGCAACAACATGTCCACCTTGGGATGGTGAGGGACGAAAGAATAGGCAAGCCAAACATGGAAATTGGATTGTCCAATACCCACTTATTTGGTTAAGCAAGGCTATTGCGCAACTGTGATATGCCTGAAGGTCGCAACAAGGTAGAGATACGTTGGCCAAACTCTAATGGGATTATTATGAGATCACGAGCAACAACAACAGCAGATCGATAGATTTGTGGTGGATTGATGATGCTATGGAAAAGAGAGGACAGCGAAAGGTCTGGAGTGGATGGCCATGGGCATGCCAAGAGTGCCGTGACTGGTCTTGTCCATGCGACGTCTTGATCCGAGCTGTATAGGGATAGTCAAAACACATAGACGCGTATAAGAGCATTCCAAAGGTCTAATGTCTAATGTCGTGTGGTGTTCGGTCTATGTGGTGTTCAGTCTATGTACGGCCGCTCGTCCTCCAACTAGGCTTCGGTCAATGACATGGACGTCCTGATGTCCGTCGTCTGTGATTGACCATTAGCAGAGTCCCTAACACGCTTCAATGGAACAAGAAGGATTTCAGGAGCAGGGTATTGCCTTTTGGCTGACGACTCAGGTAGTTGCGTGTACAAGCAAGGCCCTGTTGCGTCTCTGTTTCTTACAATTACCGGTGCTGTAAATACATTCCTTCGTTCTTGTCGTCGTTTCGCGTTCCTGTAGAGGCATCAGTTATATATCTGACTTTGTAACTTCCTTACCGCCAACGTGGATCAGACGGACGTCCCGTCGATTCTGCAACACGTCGTCCCGTGATTGATGCAAGCTTGAAGCAAACACGTGGTTGAATTCCGGAAGGGGAGGTTTGCTGAATGGCGATTGGAACAACGGGATGAGTGCGGCTCGGGAAACTGCCGGTATCCATTCTTTAGAAGCTTCGAAGTTTTGGCTCTTTATCTGCTTCAACATCTTTGATTCTCTCGTCGCAGGAAATGTCTGGAACCTTGACAATCCCTACACTACTCTCGGGCTATGTCCGACCAGCCTAGGTCGTTTAAGAAGATGGAGTAACGCGTCCTCTCGTTGCCTCCCAAGTATCTTGAGCTTTGCTTGATAGTGAGTCCGGTCAACAACATCATCATCTCGGATATCCAGCGTTGACTTTTGCGGATTTATTTAGGGAACGACCTTCCAAGATGGAGCTCAAGAAAGGCAAAACCATTGTGCTCACCATGTGGGGCACCATGATTCTTTTCCCGGTGCTGGCACTGGTCTTCATCATCCTCAGACTTTATTGCAGGCGTTGGCTCAAGAAGGCTACCACGGGTTATCTGGACGATTATGTGCTGATCTTCTCTTGGGTGCGTACTGCTTAACGATCATTATAACAACCCAACCAAACAAACCTGCTAACGTCATTAAAACCTTGAAGGTCCTCATGGTCGTAACCTCCACCATAGGTCTCATGCTGGCCAAGCACGGCGTAGGCACAGCCATAATGGCAGGGGAAGAGGTCGCAGTCGAGCCCGAGGTGATGCACGCTCTTCTTTTCTGGACTTCCAACCTGCTACTCTTCGGCATCAACGCCATTGCTTTCTCCAAAGTGTCTTGGTTCATCACTCTCATTCGCCTGGTCGTCAATTGTCGGCAAAAGGTTGCACTCTGGATGTTGATGGTGTTCAGCACCACCCTCCTGCTTGTTGCTTCCACTTTTGGGTACTACCAATGCCATTTCCTGCCCGATGGGAGCTGGAGCTATCCAGAAATGTCAGATCACAGGTGCCTAGACAATGGGGTTGCCATCAAAATCAGCCTAGTCACGTCCATTTACTCCACCGTCCTGGTAAGAGAAGTCATATGGCCCCTTGACACTCGTGCTGCAATGCTTTTTCGTGCTAACAGAGAACATGTTAGGAATTTGCGTTGGCGGCTGTTCCCGCCTATGTCGTTTGGAACTTGCCACTCAAACAGAGCACCAAGATTGGCATCATCTGTGCCACGAGCGTGGCCTTTGTGTAAGTGACAGAAATTGCCTTAACGGAACGACTGAATGCTGATATTTCGCTTAGGTCGGCGATGATGGGAGCTTTGAGAACAAAGGCGTATTATGATCACCTGTTTCCACTGGGAAAGCTACCCGAGATGTATTCCTTGGGATGTGTGATCATGTTTGCGGTCCTAGAGGTGTGCACCACTATCATAGCCGCTAGCATCCCCTTCTTCCGTCCGCTGGTAAAGAAGATGGCTAAAGCCTATGACGAGGACGAGCTTTCGTGGCCATGAGCCTGTTGTCTGGGAGACGGAAAGACAATAAGAGGTCTGCCCGGAGTAAAAGTTCATATGCCTCGTTCCAAGAAGATGAGTCGATAATGAAAGCGATGTCCAATACTGCGGCTGCGCAACATAATACCTTCATTGGACCTTGATAGATATGTGGAACGACTGAATGGGAAATTCTTAAAACAACTCCATCGAAGACAAGAACAATGTTGCGTTCCTGCCGCTAGCAACGATATGGGTATGTAGGTTGTCCGGGACCGCAGCATTACAGCCGGGGTACGGGCTACCCTATTGCTGCGGCTGTGACGCAGGACAGGCAGGCGTCCACATCAACTGGATATAGCAGGACACGCAAAGGTATAAATCCTACACATTCCCCAGGGGCTGAACTCCGAAATACAACACGACGGGAGGGACACCATCAGCAAGAAAAGGCAGCAACATGGCAGTCTTTCCACAAGAGATCATCAATCTAATCGTGCGTCAGTGTGATGATTACGGGACCCTCTGGAATCTGTTGACCGTCTCGCGCGCTTGCCAGGAACCGGTAGAACAGCGACTATGGCCTGACCATGTTCGCATCGTCGATGATGACGGCGTCAAGGTACTCAGACGATACACCGGCCGCCGATTCCGCTTCCTCCGACGTGTCACCCTCGAACAAGACTTTCCCATGTTGGAGGACGAGGACCTGAGCTGCCGCGAGACAGCCGACGAGGTGCGGGAGAACGATGAGCTTTTGACTCGACGGATCGCCGCCGTCTTCACTGCCATCAAGGCCCTGGAGAAAGGTCTCAACGATGAATCAGCAGCTCAGACCATGAATGTTGCCCTTACCATCACGACTCCGCGTCAATGGGTGCATGATCCGCCCTGTGGTCACCGATGTTACCACAGCTGGCGCTTGCATCTTCTTCGTCCCTAAACTCTTCCGAGGCTCGAGTCGGTCAAGAAGCTGGTCGTTGGCTTAGATACCCAGGAAGATCATGGCCCCAATTTCGCCTACCATCCCGTCGCGACAATAGGTATCTTCACCCGCTTCACCTCCGCGTGGTACCTGACCTTCTGAGCAAGCTTCCTTACTTCCACTCCCTCGAGTCCATCGACATCCAAGATAGCCTGCCATTCCCATTCGACTCGGGCCCGGTTCTCGACCACTATGCGCGGCCTTTTGAGGGCCCGAGACGCGACTCCCGCCATGGATTTGCCAGAGCTGTCGAGGAGCGCGGTTCCTCATCATCCTCGTTGTCATCAGGCATCCAACTCTACCCGTCTCTCAAAACTCTCCCATACTTGATCGGTTACTGTGCCAGAGCAAGCCTAAGCTATGTGGAGTCTGATGGACACCGTGCAACGCTATTGTTCTATACCATGAAGGAATTCTGCGACGACTTTTGGTACCCGTCCAATGAACGCCCCGGTACTAGGTCGAAGCCTAAAATGATCGATGGGAACGACCTTGAGAACGTGCTCAGGGCTGCACTTGAGCAGGGAGATTATAATTTCTTCAATGATGCCTGTATGATGCACGGAGATGTACTTCCACCAACCTTCTTCACGTGGGCAAAGAATTGGCTCAAGGACCCAAACACGGATTCGGATTTCGACGATTTCTTGAAAGAAGGGTGCGTTTTAAACCAGCGAGTTTACACGTGGAAGAAAGAGACAAGCTAACAATGATGTACCACTAGGTTGACTTACGTGGTCGATGCATATCCTCATCTGCCTGAACAGTTAGCGGCTCTTGCGCACTTCACCCCGAATCCCGACAAAGGCCAGCTCGGGTGTGTAATGAGTGGAGAAAGGCGCAAACATCGACAAACGACAACAACATAAAGACAACGGAAGTGAACGAAGGAAGGGGGGCAAAGGAAGAAACACACTACCATTAGATCTGTGGTATGCACGAAGGTGACGGCCAGTAAGATTGGAACTCGACCTTATCGGCTTGCCACGAGGCGATTACACTTGAATTCGACATGTTCTGATGTCAGCTGTCATTGGATCACGAGAGCATTGTGGACGGTATGGGAGGTTAACTTCTTTTATATTCTCACCTATATGTTTGTTGCTTTTCAATGTCTCTTTCTCCTCTCAAACAAATCGATCGTCTGATGCCACCTACCTTATCGTACAACTCAAGCTCCTTGGCTCGCTCGCATCAGCAGCGTGTGTCTCCGGCCAGGGAAAGAATGGGGTTCAACTCACCTAGAACCGTTACTGTCCTCCTAGTTCGCTCTACCGTGTTCGCCCCTAAAATAAATAAAGCGAGGGGTCAGTAACATGGAGCTTCATCTTACCCTCCCACCGCCAAGATGCGTATGGTGACATGTCATAAGTATTCTGCGTGGCGATGGTGCCTATCGAAAAATAGGAAGAGACAGAATTTCCCGAGACCGAGTGGGACCACAAATGGCCACGAGGAATGCCCTCCCAGATGTCGATACCGTTGTGTTCTTGATGATGTAAATCATGGGTGGAGCCAAAACCGTTGACATGGTTGCCGTACGGACTATTACCAGGATGCGCCTCGTGGGTCGAGTAGAGGCCTCGTGCCTGGTGATCGTGGGGCTGATGCAACCCGTCGAGTTCGTACAAGGGCAGAGCATGGTCGTCATCGTCGCGAGGAGTAATCGAACGGGGATCACGACTGGGTGCGTTGTCCCAGCGGGCGCCGTAACGGAGGTGCACTACTGAACTGGTAAGCGTCGTGAAAAGGTGTCCCATCAGGAGGGCAAAATAGAGCCAACCCACAATGATATCCTTCTGGGGGTTACCGGTAGCTGGGCCACCTGCCATCCAGTCCTTGACCCAAAGTAGGATACGAATAGCACACGAAAGATGGACGGCGACAGCAAAACTGCTAAGCAGGACGTAGTCGAACGCATCTGCCTTCCCGGGCATGAATGGATCAAAATCTTCACCGACGTCTAGGAAGGTGTGCTTCTCGATCGGAGCGCCGTTTAAACGGCGGATGCCGCGGATCCACTTGTAGAGAGTCATAATCCAGTAACTTCCGTCGACAAGGCACAACCAAACAATCCAACCTTCGCGGCTCTTGAGGTCTTCGAGCTGCAGTTTACGCCAATGGTCGCGCAAGTCTACAAACCAGATAAGCAAATAGCCATAAAACACCATGGATAGGGTGTTCTTAAGAACTGACAAACAGAGCGGGAATGTCTTCATCTGGACGTACCGGTAGAAGTTGATAGCCCTCTGAACGGCGTTGTTGCCGCGAAGAAAGTCTTCTAGGGTTTTTGGGCCATACTCGATGTCGTCTGCATTGAATGCTCCGATGATGCAAGAACCAAAATCTGGCGTATCGTTGTTAGTCTCATGTAGCAAGGAAGACAGTTGGGGAGTCAACGAAGGGTCAGGGGTGGGTACCGTTGGGACATCGGATGTTAGTTGGCGAAGCTCGATGTCGTCCTCGATAGGCGAGAGGGAGGAAAGGGCGGTAGCGAAGGAATCTATGGTCAAGGAAGAGCGGCGAAGGTATGTCCTTCCTGGGGCTTGCGGATAGAAGGGAACTATGGTTGAGTTCATGGTGATGCTTGCGGTTATTGTCAAGGGTGGTCCTTCTTTGGTGTTCGATGGTAATCTGTTTCTGCAGCAGCATCCATGTCGGACGGGTCGGGATGCCAGGATTTATGTGAAAACCGGCTTCTCATTGTTCACGGGATAGCTTGATGATGTGTTTTGGAAATCGAAGCCATGGTCTTGAGCATTGGCTGAGACGTCGCGATGCTTGACACAATGGGTGATTCTTCTCGGGTACTGATCCGTGCTACAAAATGTGATTGTCAGAAAATATTCCATTGTTACACAATTGGAAGACCAATGTCAACAATCACCTTTGTCCTCAACAAAGAGTCCGGCTACTGGATCAAATGCTGATGGATTCCATGTTGTGAACTGGGTTCATATTCTGCGGACATGGCAATTCATTAAACGATCTTTTGTCTTCAAGGATTGAGAGACGGTCCTCAGAAAGATGACAGCTCCGTGGTTGGCGACGATGCTGAAAGGACAGACCTTATCTTTACCCAAACCATTGGACAACGAAATCATTTCCTCCTCCATTCCCACGATATTATGGACCTGGGTCAAACGAAAGTAAACAAACACTCAGGGGCACCCCCAGTCCCCGAAAAAGAAAAATATGACGGCAGAGCCCCAGGGTTAGGGCTGAGCCTGTCACTTTTGTCCCCATCGGCTGATCTCTGTCATCGAATCAGCGTGCAGAACAAGATCTTATCAGTTTTTTATCACAAGATCTGATCTGATCACGAGTGGAGGTAAAAACCCAAACACTCCCCGCAACGGCATCCGCTCCGGCGACCCGGACACGCCGGCCTAGCCCCAGCAGGGTAAGCATGTGCTGATCGGCGTTCCGTCCGAATTCTCTTATCGCGGCTGATCGTGTTTCGTGTTTCATTTTTTTCATTTTTTTCATCTTTTTCATCTTCTTCAGTCTGTTTGTAGTCGCTCTCATCCTCATCCTTCAACGCGCCTTTTGAAGATCTGAGGGAGAGAGACCAGACTGAAGCCGACTCACCATGCTCACCCGATAAAGTCGCTCGCCCCCACCACCACCACCACCACCACCACCGAAAACCCTCACCACCGTGACCTTCAAGATCTGACAACGACCGGCTTCGGCCACCACAACCAACCACAATGCCTCGCTCCGTCGCTCGCCTGAGCACCATCCACGATGTGGAGCGAGAAGACGCATCGGAGATTGATCAACAAAGCCTTCTCTTCATGCCACCAACTCCGCTCGAGGGTCCTTCCGCTTCTTCCTCAGCTTACTGGTCATCGGGGTCCGGCTCCGGCTCTTCATCCTCTTCATCCTCCTCTGATGACAACAACAACGACAACAACAGTGCCCCGTCATCGCCATCCGGTTATTTCCAGAATGGAAACAATGACCAGAAACAAAAACGAACCCACTGGACCCCCATCATCCTAATCCAGCTCATGATCTTTTTGTCTGCCATGGGCGTCGTCATATCCTTTGCGCCGCGCACGCGCTTGTTCGAAGATATCATTTGCAGGAAATATTACGCTATTCATAATGGGACGACGGAGACCACCAGTATCAGCACAAGTGCCCTCCTCTCCCTGACCACCAACGTGGACTTCGCCAGCCAAGCGCCCTCGGAATCGCAATGCAAAATCGCCCCCGTGCAAGACGCTCTCGCCGAGCTTTTCGGGTGGCAGACCTTCTTCGACGGCATCCCCGGCCTGTTGCTAGCCATGTACTACGGCGTGTTAGCCGACAAGAAAGGTCGCAGTCCGGTGTTGTTCCGGTCCTTGCTGGGCCAGGTCTTAGCAGCAGGCTGGGTTCTCTATATTGCTTGGCGGTGCTCTTCCGCCTCTGACGCAGGCATAGTAAGTGACAGCGACACCGAAGAGATCATTGGCAGCTGGACATACCTGCTATCGCTCAAAGCCACCTGGCTGAGTTCCTACTTCTTGATCATCGGCGGCGGAAGCACGGTTACGAGCGCGGTGGGCATGATGATCGTCACGGACGCGACGACGGAGGAGAATCGCAGTCGCGTCTTCTTCGCTGCGTTGTCGACGCTGATCACGGCCGAGTTGCTGGGTCCGGCTGCTAGCACGCTCATGATGCGGAAGTGGGGGCTTTGGGTTCCTTTGGGGTTTGGGTTTGGGTGCTTGGTTGCGAGTGCGGTGTTGACGGCGACTATGCCCGAGACGATGCATCTCAAGCGGGCTTCTGCTGGGTCTGCAGTGGTTGCTGATCCGGAGGCGTTGATGCGCGACGGAGAGGACGAGGACGAGGAGCAGTACGAAGTTGACACGCACGCATCCGTCGTCAACGGAGTCAACCCAAAGAAGGATGGAGACGTCAACAAATCGGCCATCCAAGTGTACCGCCACGCCGCCCACACGCTCGCCTACATCTTCCACCACCCCAGCATCTTGTTTGTGGTTCTCGCCTTTTTGGTGGCCGATTACTCTCGCGAGTCGCTTGTCATGCTGATGCAGTTCGTTTCCACACGGTATCACATCCCCATTGCTCAGGTACGTCCTCCTCTCTTCTCCCTTCCCCTTCCTTCCATTATGCTAACAAAACCCCAACCCCAGGCAAACCTCCTCAACTCCTTCCGCGCCTTCACACAGCTCTTCGTCGTCACGATCCTCCTTCCAGGCATCGACTACTTCATCACCCACCGTCTCCACGTGCCCGCCCTGCGCAAGGACCTAATCCTATCTCGCATCTCCTTCTGCTTCGTCACGGCTTGCTTCGGCGTCCTAGTCTGGGCGCCCTCGCTCCGCTACGTCTTTGTCTCCTTGACCCTCTATACCCTCGGTTCTGGATTCTATCCCTTTGCTCGGAGTTTGCTGGCCAGCTTGGTGGAACCGGACATGATTGGGATCCTGTTCACCACGCTCGCCATGATGGATACTGCGGGTAGCTTGATGGCTGGACCGGTGGTCGCTTGGAGCTTTGGTTGGAGTTTGGGATTGGAGGGCTTGTGGAGGGGACTGCCGTATATGGTTTCTTGTGTGCTTTGTGCGGTGGCCACGGTCTTCCTGATCTTTGGTGTTAAGGCCGAGAGGCCTGATTCGGTTGACGAGGCGGCGGTGGGACGGAAAGGCCCAAAGGGTAAGGGGAAAAGCAAGGGGAAGGGCAAGGGGAAAGGTGTTGCCAGGGTCGCCGTGAGGGCTTTGAGAGACGTGGAGGAGGAGGACCAGGAGGAGAGAGAGACACGGCCATTGTTGGCTGGACGATAACAGGATGCCACACTACTGGCAAATGATGATAAAGGACATGGATGGAAAGCATTGGGAGGCGTTCTGGGGCCTGGATACGGGAGTCATGAGTGTACACCGACTTAGCAAGATTTGGATATATGAGAGAAATTTGATTTGGTCGGATACTTTCATTGGACCTTGACGTGTTCGGAAGTGTCGACAAGAGGAGCTGACCACGGCGCAACGCATGTGTCTATCGTCAACCCTGGGGCCGAAGAAGCCTCTACAGCATCCTAATGTGAATAGCTGCAATCAGTCGCGGCATCAACTGCTACAGCGGCCGGTACTCACGGCTGTGAATCGTTAATGTCGCCTAGATGAACAACCGAGCATGATGTTGTCGATCAGAAATTGGAGTTCTGTTACGGCTGACAAATGGAATGTTCAGGCCGTGACACGCTAACTGCACGTTTCAGATAGCGCGGACGGTACGATCCCCTCCCTGCAATGCCGCCGCGACCGCGAACCCCACCACGTGCCCACCTTACAGACCGCTATCGGTTCGGCTTCGACACGAACGCAACCATCGCGGAGTTCGGGCGGGGTGATTGACACGGCCCGCAAAGTATAAGAAGCTTCGGCGTGGCTAGCTTCAGTTGGTCCTCTGGATTTCCCGACGACTGTTCTCAACACCAACCCACCCTCAGCAACATAACCCAAGATGGCCGACAACAAGTTCGACCCCGACTATTTCCAGGCCATCCAGCCTTTGATGGCGCTCAAGGCAACCCTCCCGCCCCCGTTCCCACCACGGATGTTGCCGCCCTCCGCCAGAACAGCGCTGGTTTCGAGATGATCCTCGCCGGCATCCCCGACTCCCCTGACATCATCGAGACCACTTACCAAATCACTTCCAAGGACGGCACCCCGATCACCCTGTACCGCTTCACACCGCCGGCGGCGGCGGCCACCCCTGGCCCTCGTGCCGCAGTACTCTACCACCACGGCGGCGGCTATGTCCAAAACACCGTCGCCCAATTCACGAAAGATATCAAGCGCTATGCGTATGGGAGCGGCATCACCTTCTACGCTGCTGACTATCGCGTCGCGCCTGAGCACCCTTTCCCTGCTCCCTTTGACGACTGCTACGCCGCCCTGGAATGGCTCCATGCCAATGCCGCTTCGGAGCAGGTTGATCCGGCACGCATTGGCCTTTTCGGTGTGAGCGCCGGCGGTGGGCTGGCCGCCGCTGTCGCCCTCAAGGCGCGTGATGAGGAGGTGTCGCCGCCCATCAAGAAGCTGGTGCTGGCGTACCCAATGTTGGACGATAAGACGTATTGGCCCGACGAGCATCCATTGAACCCGTACTTGATGTGGACGGGCGCCTTCAACCGGGTTGCGTGGGGCGCGTATGTGGGCGCGGATGGCGCGAAGAAGATCTCGCCATATGCTGCGCCGGCAAGGGCAGAGGATTTGTCAGGACTGCCACCAACGTTCATTGACTGCGGCGAACTGGACTTGTTCAGAGACGAAGACGTGGAGTTTGGTGCGAGACTGCTCAAGGCTGGCGGCAGTGTCGAGCTGCACTTGTACCCTGGAGTTCCGCATGCGTTTGAGATGGTGGCAGTGAATATACGGGTCTCGAAGCTTGCGTTCGAGCTCAGAATTCGGGCGTTGGACAACCTATGATTTGATGTACTTTATGTATTCAGCTCAACTTCCGTCTTTGGCCAGCAGTGATTCGGCAAACGTTTTGATCGCATCCTTGAGTGTGTATGCTGGTCTGCCTTGAGCCCAAAAGTGGCTGGCTCCGGAAACCTCGTGGGCTCTGAAGGAAGAGTGAGGAATGCCCTCCAGGCGTGCGGCCCACGGTCGTAACTTTCGCACAGGCACGAAGCCGTCGTTGTCCCCGTAAATGGCGAGGGTGGGGTTTCGTACCAGCTTGGCTTCTGCTTCTTCGAGCGACAGGGCAGTATCTGAACTTGGGCTCAGCTCACCCGTTGGCGAAGCCGTAGCAGCTGGGGAAGACATAGACCTGGTCAGCCCCTTCCACGATGGCCTTCGAGGAAGCAGATTGAATGACGCGAGGTTGTTGATGAGGCCCTGCAAAGGCGAAACCAGCAGGTAGGCCGGGCGAGCTGCCACTAGGTCTGGTATAGAAGATAAAAAATCATTTGCCGGTTGATGCTTTGTCTCTCGTGTGTCGTGTGCTGCGTCTCCACCCGCAAAGCTGTGGTCCTTTCCAGAAAGACGTCTCTTATGACTCTTTGCCTTGGCCATCAGCTCTGCAACTCCCTTGTGAATTCTCTCTTCCGTATCATGGGAAAAGGACAATCGCGAATGGTGGTGTTTTCTGCTGCTTTCCTCTCCTCCAAAGCGCATGCCAGTCGGCAAATGGGACAACAAGTTGGCTTGATGCTCGAGGGCCGCTGCTCTTGCGCTTCCTAACGTTGTATTTTGCACCTCTGCAAGGTGTTGAGCTCGGAGGTCGTATTTTCCGCAGCATGGGAGCTGCAAGCCGGAGTGTCGAACTGGTGGAGTATGTTTTGGAGAGAAGGAAGTTGCATGGTGATCATTGAACCATATGAATAGCCGCCCATTAGAAACAACGGTGACTTGTTGTTGTCGTGCGGCGCAGAAGGTGTAACGGGTCTAGAGCCGCCATGGGGCCCCATGTAATCTGATGCTTCGGCAATTGGGCTCGTCGTCGGGACGGATTGAAAGAGATGCGGTCGAAAGGGATCGAGGTAATGAACATAGTACGACAGGAAGCCGACAACGGAAGCGTAGTCTGCCCGCTCGGCCTTTGCCGTCCAAGAGGTCCGACCAGCGGAGCCTTGTGCGCCTCTAAGATAACGAGGTATTGTCAGCATGCTTCAGGATAGCAAAGAAGATGTGTAATCGAACCTGAAGTTGAAGGTGCCGACCAAGAAGCCAAGCTTGAGCAGTGTTCCGGCTGCGATGTCTACCACAGGGTCGTCATAGCAACCTCCGAGAGGGGCATACGGGTGGGCGAATACGGCAGCGTGCTTGCGCCATGGTGGTGAGGACGGCGACTGGTCGAGCGACTGAGGATGGTAAACGCGACAATCGATGGCAAGGCCATCGTGTATACTCGGCAGGGTGAAGGAAAGCGTTGGTCCTGGAAGCAATGATCTTGCCAACCGGGAGGGCTGGTCTTCGGCGTCTGTCATTGGTGCTGGGTGCGCCGAACCTTGCCGTAGCTTGGAGATTGGCCCGGTGGCGTTGATGATGGGCAAACGGAAGAAGAGGAACACGGAGCAACGGGCACGTGCACACGACTTCCAAGGTCGATTCCGTCTCGTTGTGTAACTAGAAGCGGGCGCACGCAGACGCGGTGGTGAGGTCAATGTTTTCTTTTTTTTTTAGCGATTGAAGCACCGAGTCAAGGTGGAGGAGAGTGCCTTGCCCGTTCCGCCACGGGATCCACTCGGTCCCACCCGGGACACGGCAAGCTTCGGGGACTGCCGAATTTCCACGCCGAGACCACGGGACACTTCCGTCCAATCCATATTACGATTTGAGACTGAACTCTGGCCGATGATTTCAGACCGCGACGAGATGTGCCGGAATTCTTTGAATTTTGGTGACTCGACAGTGATCGATCGGACCCTCCATCCCTCAAAGCGTCCGTCTTTATCCTCACTTCTTTGTCCGAGCTTTGCCGACTTTGCTGTTTCTTTTCAGTCATGGTCACAAGTGATCAATGTCGCTGAGACTGTAATTCATAACAAAGCCCATTTTCACATGTTGTTCATGGAATCGATGTTGTCTTGAAGTTCATAACTTGTTGAGTGAAGTGGTGACGCGTGGATTTAGTGGACTCGGTCCCCTGGAGCAACTAGATGGGCGTCAAAACGTGGCAGGACAACAAACTGCAACATGGCGTTCGTTGTGGCACTGTGTTTACTTGTGCTCTTCAATGAGTGACTTGAGCACCATATACACACCCTGAGACGCAGAGATCATTTCCACGGTTATTTTGGCCTATACCTGGGTGTAATCATGGCACTCCTCGATCTTAGTGTTTTGATAAAACTCCCCAGAACTTTTGCTTTGGGCTGAAGGAAATTGCGTCATTCATCCTCTGGTGCCGATGTTATAGTAAGTTGTTGGGCGACGACAGTGGCAGATGCAATTATGCACTGTCTGAACTCAGAAACCGGTGATGGGGTCGTGGGGCGCTGGGGTTGAAGAATGCATGCACGTCATCCATTGGGAGAAAGGAGAGTTGTTGACCTGACATGTGATAGCCTCAACTTCTGACCTCTGTCTCTCTTCACCTCAGAACTCAACCACGAAGCATTGAGTTTTCATTTCCAGTTAATAAGCTTTGGTGGTAGAAATTAACCAGGTGCTGAGGGTACCATCACCTTCAACTAAGACGCTTCTTCTTACCATTCAATCCCAACGGCTCAGTTTCGGCACTTCATCGATTGAAGCTTTTGCCGAGTCCTCTTCACAATATCCAGCCACGTAATGGATCGCCTTCTATCATCGTCAGTGTCAACACCATTGGTCATGTCTTGCTTATCATCGACAGCACTAAGGCAAGGGCAGTCACCAAGCTTTGCTGTTCCTGAGGTCATTGATTTTGGCATGTGGTGAAGAATGTAACCATTCGCAAGTCAGTAACTTTCAAGGAGGTAAAGAGACACTTGATATTGACATTGAGAACAGAGAAATGCCAGATATATGTATGAAGACTCTATTTCAAGTTTTAGAGTTGGCCAAGTCGTGACACCAAGCCAGGATCACGCCCCAGATCTGGGAGGGTGGTGGGTGGACTGAACCCGTGAGAAATGCGGTTGTGTGTGTTGTTCCCCAGATTCCGTCCCGCGTCTCGGGGATTCTTCTTCCCGATCTGGCTTGGTTGAGACACAAATTGCACAATTGAAGGCCTATGGGTGGCCCGGGAGTGCGCGCGTGCCCGTCTTAACTGATGACCCCACCACTGCAAGGATTGCCCCACGATTTGCATTCCCCTGTGTCTGGTCCGGTGGCCCCCCGTGCCCCCCTTCTCAGCGACCCTTCCAGCCTGTTTCGTCGGGGACAGCGCCCGAAAAAGGTGTCAGGTGGCCCTTCCCCTTGCGCGCCAAACCCGGGCGCCTGAATTTCTGATGACGGCAGGACGGGTCCGCGTGCAGGAAGGATCCTGGAAGCCTTTGCTGCGATGAAACTCAACAAACTCATCTCTTGACCGCCAACTCTTTTCCTTCCTGTCTGTCTCTTCATATCTCCATGTCGGAGCCCCCAAAACAGTCCACCCACAAGCCATGAACCATTTCCGACTCCCTGGCTTCCAGTCCCATCAGTCGCCAGCACTCCACACCTCGATAACCTAAAAACAACAACCGACTGCACGCTACTGCGCCTCTTCTTCTTCCCGCCTCCACTACCCTAGAGCCCGAATCCCTACAACTCGCGCCTACAACCGGACTCTCTTCCGCCCCGGCCGGCCTCCGTATCGATACCCGATTCGAACCCTAACCTGATATCCGACGCCGTGACACGAACCCTTTGTACCATACTCCAATGACCGACCTCCCCGTCCATGGGCCGCCAGGCATCCGTGTCAGCCCCGGCGGCCCCGGTGGCAGCGACTGTGGCACTCAAAAGGCATCTCCCCACCCCTTGGCTTCGGCTCTCAAGAAAAAGAATAACAAGGTCGAGAAGCACGTCGCGTTCCGGCCCCTCTCGAAAGTCATCCGCAGCGCGGGTAATTACGTTCTGTCATGGCGAGACGGCCTCACCCAATCGGAGAGGGAAAACAAGCGCAGGATCGAGGAGAGGATGCAGTTCCTAGAGGACGTCATGCACAATGTTTGTACAACTGTTCACGGAGTATGCTGCTCCACGTCACATCTCCGGAAATGCTGACCATTCTTCTGTCTCATACAGGCCCTCCAGCGCAGAGGAATGGGAAACGGCCGCCAAGGAGCTCGACCACCTTGAAGGCAACGACGCGTGGAAACTCGACCCCTCGACCGGCGACTACCACCCCGATATCATCGAGACCAAGCTACGAGATTTGGAACACGCTCGCGAAAATGGAGACACAAGGGAAATGATGTATCTCGTCCGCACAGCTCTCTCACGCGACCTCGGCGGAATGGGTAACATCGACTTGTACCGCCATTCGTATGTCGGGACCAAGAAACTGATCGAGGACTATGTCGACTCGGCCGTCAAAACAATCGACGCACTGGTGGACCAAAGCACACAAACGTTGCCCGCCGACATGGAGGCCAAGGATTTGTTGGAGGGCATGTTGTACGCAAGACAGAGCTTTGGGAGAAGCGCCCTTCTTCTGAGTGGAGGAGCTACTTTTGGGATGTCGCATATTGGTGTCATCAAGTCCCTGTTCGATGCGAATCTTTTGCCTCGCATCATCTCGGGCGCCTCTGCTGGTTCTATTGTGTGCTCTGTTCTGTGCACTAGGAAGGACGAGGAGATTCCCGACTTGATCCAGCACTTTCCTTATGGTGATCTCGACGTCTTTGAGGGTCCCAACGACGGCATCTCCGACAGCTTACGCCGACTTTTGACCCAAGGGAGCTGGGCCGACATATCGAATCTCACCCGAGTTATGCGATCCCTGCTTGGCGACCTGACTTTCCAGGAAGCTTACAACCGTACCCGGAGGATATGCAACATTTGCGTCTCGACCGCCTCTATTTACGAGCTCCCTAGGCTACTCAACTATATTACGGCGCCGAATGTCATGATCTGGTCTGCAGTGGCCGCCTCGTGCTCCGTTCCGCTCGTTTTTCAAGCAGCTCCGTTGCTGATCAAGGATCCTACGACCGGCGCCCATCTTCCATGGAACCCGACACCACAACACTGGATTGATGGCTCTGTTGATAACGACCTACCCATGACGCGTCTCGCCGAGATGTTCAATGTCAACCACTTTATTGTTTCCCAGGTCAACCCCCATATCGTTCCCTTTCTTTCCAAAGATGACAGGTTATATCCACGGAATCATCCAGGGCGGCTTCGCCAGCAAAAGGCAGCCGCCCAAGAAAATAACAACGAATGGCTCTATTACCTTACCACTCTTGCCAAAGACGAGGCCGTCCACCGACTCCATTTCCTGACCGAGTTTGGCATCTTTCCCGGTCTCTTGACCAAGCTCCGGTCCATCCTCAGCCAGCGATATTCTGGGGACATTACGATTCTGCCGGAACTTGAAATGCAAGACCTTCCTCGTATTCTCAAGAACCCAACATCCGAGTTCATGATCCGAAACTGTCTCATAGGTGAACGAGCAACCTGGCCGAAACTGAGCCGCATTCGAGACAGGCTAGCCATCGAGCTGGCCTTGGACCAAGCAGTTCACGCCCTGCGGGCTCGTGTCGTCTTTAGTAAGAGTCAGGTCGACCTTCGTCGCATCAGTGGCGCCACTCTCGGCCCAGTTATTCAGCCCACCCCCGGCTTTATACGCCCTCCGTCCTCGGAGGAAGCCACGTCCGGCGAGCATCAGCATCATCGCACCCGTCATCACCACCGCAGAAGCTCCGCTAGCAGCGTCCAGATCCTCGCCTCCCGACACAGAAAGATGTATCAAAGCCATGACGACGATTACCTAACTGATGACCAATCCGAAGAGGACGAGCGCCTGGAGATGAGCTACCGCAGAGGTGCCCACACTCGCCCTGGGAGCGTCACTCCACACGCCCGAGCCCCGGTTATCCACACCCTCGCCAAGCCGCGTTTGCAGAGGGCCGCTAGGAGCGCAAGCCACATGCGGGAAGGGAGACCTTGGTCCCAGGGTCATGGGGCGCATCCTCCTCATACCCACGGTCATAGCCATG